AACGAATATGAGCACATACAAAAGTCTGTAATGCCATTGCAGAAGTGGAAATGCGCATGACATATGGCAAGAAGGACCGATCATCGCTGGATCACCGACATTACACTGGGTTCCAGTGGAGAACTAAAGGCCCGTAGGAAGACCTGATCGAAAGCTCGATGAGCTGAAGAGACGGATCAAGATGGATAAAATTGACGAGGAACATGTTTGTTTCATACTCCTGGAGAGCTTTATCCAGTAGTGGGTGGAAAAGGACTGATGATGAAGTTCGCTATTTCGTAGATTAGGCCTCTTTGTCCACTCCAAGGACAGTGAACATCGATCGAAGTAATGGTCGCAGCTAGGGAAAACTTTCTGAGGCGTGAAAACCTCAATCTCAGTGGCACAGTGGTAAAAGTTGTTTCAAACTCCGTCGGTGCCGGGTTCGCATACTGAAAGACTTTTTTAAGCATGAAGTACCTTGAGCAGCGAATCACCCCGCGATGCTTCGGTGCAATCGGCCGAGAAGCGCGTAACATGTCGCTGGCTTATGAACAACGAAGGCAGCGTGATCTTGTCCAGTCGTTACCAGAATGGCCAAGAAATGCGTCCATGTTCGTTGATGCGAGCGCCTTAGTTGGAACAGTGCCTGTTGTTGCTTTTATGAACCCGGAACCATTGCTAATGATGAAAAGATTAGCGATTAACAGATTTGGTCATGGTCGTAAGTCAAGTTTAAAAATTCCAGCTCTCTACCCAGACGGAAAATTGGAGCGGGGCGCAGTTCTCTGCCTTGCTGTGTAATATTTAGTTTTGTAAAGTTTTATAACTACTTAAAAAATACGCAGCTATTTACTGAGTAGCATACAGCAATTGGTATGTTTTTGGATTTGGATTGCCGCTGTCATGTTAATGATCGCTCGTCGACCTAAATGCAAGTTAGTTGAACGCGAAAGGCTGCCGTCTGTCGGTATCTTAATTATAATGTAGCCGTTGGTGTGTCGCGAGGCGATGCCGGTTTGGGCAGTTTTAGGCGTTGTTTCGCATCCGGTTGAAAAGCCTGTGCTCCCAATGTCCCCGGGCAGAGCGTTCCGCTGGCTGCCGAGCAGTATAGATTTTTGTTCTGCCCGTGTGACGACGATTGAGGCACTACCGCCTTCCACTCCATTGTTTCCCGTTTTCGGCCTTTGTAAGCAGCGGAGTGAGTTATTCGCGTTTTTTTGAGGCTGATTTGTTAAGTGACAAATCGAAAGTTCCACCAGTGAGTCACATGTTTTGTATTTTTTTAAGTTTTGATGTTCTTCACGTTTGGTTTTTTTTGCGCATGGTATTTTTGAGACCGTTGGTAGGAAGTTAACGTCAAATTCTTTTTGCTGAATCTTGGACGTTACTAAGTTACAGTCGTTAAGTCAAAGTACGCTTGTGGCGATCACCGCGACGAGTGCTCGCGCCTCAGTCGATTCTCATGCGTTCGTCGAGCGGGGAGGATCGTTGCGAAATCAGCCAGCAGTCATTTGCAGTGGTGGCGTAATTGCACGATTCCATTGGATGACAGAGACATCGGATTTGCAATCATGGTCAGAAACCATGGGTTTCAGTCTTGGTCAAGGTGATTCACCTTCCATAGTTTTCAGATAGACAGGAAACGGATAACAGTCCATGTATCCGCGTACGCGGCTGTAATTATTGCCCCGAATATCAATAAAGCTGCTTTTCCAGGGGCACCGAAACGAATATCAGCTTTGGACCGTATATTGTCAATTATTGTCGTCATGTCTCGGGACAGAGTGCATCATTTGGAGATGTTCTGTCAACCTTGAGAAAAAGCACCAGAGTATATGGAGCAGTTTTTCGATAACTTCATATCGTCCATTTCGTTCCTGTTTTCTTGTTTTGCAGTTGTTGTTGTGTAGTTTTTCTGAAAAATATATTTTGGATGATGATTTTAGAAAACACTTAGCTAAAGTTGAATTGAAAACGAACAGAGTACAAGTGGCATCCAGGCGTGGAAGCATTGGTGAGATCGAAGTTACAGCAGATTGTGAACTTTCCTTTACCTGAATCGATGTTTTGCCTTTGACGGGAGACGAGTAAAATAGGATGTGGCTGTGCACTTCCGAGTAATGACTAGGGTGACGCCTGTTTGACTTGGAGGCATAAATTGTCCGTAGATAAACGATGGCGTTCTGCTTTCCTGTCGGTCGATCGTGGCGACACCTATAGACGACGCGGTTGACGACGACTCCTCGAGTAACTAGCCCGGATATGTTTTCAGGCGTCTCGATTAACAACCAAGTTCGTTTCGCTCGCTGATCGTTGTTACCATGCCGCTGTCGTTCCCGGCCGGCTACAAATGCCCCCGATGTCTGCAACCCGTTTACTTTGCCGAAGAGGTTATCGCAATCGGGAAGCATTGGCATCGAAGGTGCTTTTCCTGTGGTAAGTGCCTATTTACTAATATATTTTTGCTGGCTAAGGATTGAATTTTGAAATATTTGATGTCGAGATCAACGTAAATGCGGTAATACCAGATGTTTTGTATGAACGAAGGTAATCCAAAACCTGCCGAAATCGAATAGTTTAGTTTCTTAACCCAGAAAAGTTTTTTGACGGAATTAATTTGTGGTTGCATGGCAAGCATAGTGTTTCTTCACAAAACTGACCGAATGAGGAATAACGAGTCCATTGGTCGGTATTAACAATTTTTCGATTGTAGACTTTACCCTTTACTGACACGAAGTGGATATTTATGGTTTGAAAATACTCTTTTCCGAAAAGATACAGATACAACAAGAACGTACGTAACGAAAGTAACAGAGCAAAAAATCAGTTTACGAAGCACAGAGCGTTTCTACTTCTAGCAGGTCACAAATATCGTTATAAGACTACGGATTATCTGCCACGTCGTTAGAGGACGGTTTGATCACGTGACTAATGCAGAGTGGAGAACAATGTACGAACTCGGACAGATGACGTTGCCGAAATGTTGAATGAAAGACATAATTTGCTAGGTCATTCGAATATGATTTTGCCGTCCGTAAAATTGAGCTCTTTCCTACGTCAAAAAGAGCGGCAATAAATGCAGTAATGTGTACGATCGCATGTCAGGATAACGATTACAGAGGAGGTTATTATTTACGAGTCGAAGTGGCCATAAACCTTAAAATAATCTACCAAAAAGGCGATAATAATCGACGGATGGAGATTTTTGAGGCAGGTCTGTCTACAGACTCGGTCGAAGGCATTTGTACTACCATCCATATCTATTCTCGACTGTTGCACCCCTGATGAATTTTCATAGCATCGTCTGATCTTTGATATGGGATGGAGCACCTATTCCTAACTGTGATTTTGAATATACTGATACTCGTCAAACGACTGCAATCCCGGTTACAGGCTTACAGAAATGAATTTTTCTCTCGAACATTTGCTGGTGTGTCAAACAAGACTAAACAAAATCAGAACATGACGGTTTGAGATATGTGTCAATAAATAAAAATTTACCGCATATGAATAGGACCTTAGAAACAAGAGCATTTTTGTAAGTCTTTCATCAAAAGAAATTAAAATTCATGATATCAATGTATATATCATTAATTGTTCCTGCATATGGCTAATAACTAGAATCTAGGAACAAAGAATCGTCAACAAATCCTATACAGAATGACGAAGCAGACTTAATAGAGACAAATTGCATTAGGACTGTTCCACACCGAGCTTGGTTTTGAATTATTTCTTCTCCAGGTCGACACATGCAAAATTTCAATTGTTTGGATATGTGATGTAACTAGTAATTAATTTGGTAGCTGCCAGCAATGCAGTGCTCAATAAGGTTACTTTGCGTTTAAGACGTGCCTGGTTAAAATCCTGTGTGCGGCGTAAAATTGCAAACAGCGGAAAAAGTGCAGTACAAATAAATAAAAAATCTTAGAATTTTACAACAAACCTCACGGCTGCACTTTTTGAATAAAATCATAGGAAACACGGCGCAAAAACAGACCGCGGGTAAGATGACTTGAACTCCTGAAGCAGCTGCTCCCTTCCCTTCGACCCAGAATGAATCAACGTACGTTTATTATAGT